AGTTTGCTGAACGGCATGCGGGCTCTGACCTGTAGAGGCCTCATCACGCGCGGCGGACTCGGGCGTGATGATTACTCGGCCATCTTGTCCTCCGGTGTTGGCGTAGGTTGAGGCTAAGGTCTGATGCTAATGTCTCTGATGAGGAATCCACGACGGATGTCGAAACGTCAGGCGAATAAAAATATTGTCCTAGCGATCGAGTTGTCTTATTCTCAATTATATCCTAGGACTCGTATGTTCGCAAGCTAGTGTATTTTAAACCTCTTCACACGAGTAGTATGCTTGTTCGTATCCAAAGCCATTTCCTACTGTATTAAGCAGAGCATTATCTGCTGGCATTTATGAGAACGAAGAAGCTAGTGCATTTGTACCTCTACAGACGATTCTATGCTGCAGAAGCATGTTAAGACACGGGGCAATGCACGTTTATTATACTGCATCTTCTAACCCCCAATACTACAAGCAAATGTTCATTTATTAGCAAACATAGGGTACGTCATTGATGATAGTGGAAACTTACGGCTGACTTTCATTTTCACGGATATGGAGGCGGCTGCAGGGAAAGGCTTGCCACTCCTGTCAGTAGCAGACACAGTGAAATTGTAAACTGAATTTGGATTCGCCTTGGGTAGTATGAATTCTGGCTTCGTCACCATAACCTTGTCCTGATAGGTGTCATTGCGGACAGTCACCTGATACTTGTCTCCGATGACACCTGAATCAGTTGGTGGCTTCCAAGTCACACGAATGGTTGTGGGACTGACAGCGGAAGCAGTCAGGTCTCTTGGCACTGGCACGGCTGCAGAAAAGAAGGTAAATGAGTCGTCACGGTTTAAATATTGGCCTGCAAATCCCTTTATATGCTATGTAGAAATGGCCTAGAGCATTCCCCCCATCCACCGCCTTCCCATGCTACTAATCTGCTTTCGAGTGTATGCAATTCGCATGGCACTTAGGAACCTGGAGTTGATTAACTGCCAGCGTAAGAAATATCCTGTGCAGTTGACTAAAGAATCCACAGTATCTAGAAGACATGGAAACCTAAAATGACCTAGGATACTCTTGATGCCGGAACGATGACCAGAGCCTTTCGTCAAATCTTCAAGCCGACCTATTGTTTGACGAAACACGTCTCTCTTTTGCAGTTTAGCAGGTAGGTTTGCGTCATAAGGACATTCACTGACTGTGTGTTGGTTATTTGCACATTTTTGGAGGCACTTCGCATTGAATGAAGAATTTCAGCACCCAATGCCTCATATGGAAATGAAGCAGGCCGAAAGTAAGCCAAGCTAAGGAGTGACTAGGTGAAGACATCCGCTCTAGTGCTGGTGATATGCAGAAGTTAATCAGTAGCAAATTTGCTCTGCTGCCCATAATTTTAAGACTAGGAAGGCTTTTAGAAGGGAAATATCAGTAACCCAACTATTCATTACTAATTGCGATCCCTTTTAAATAACGATCAAAGCAATCCTGTTCGTGTTGTTTAACAGGACATGTGGTTCGCTTTAATAGGCAGTGTACGCTTATGTTCTGCTGCATTAACAAAACGCAGCATTATTTCTCTGTCACAATAAGGAAGATATGTTATCTACGAGGGTCGTGACGGGTCTCGCAACACGATCTTACACCGTCTTACGCTGTCTCTTTATAAAATGTCGCAAATATATGCGTGTTAATTGCAAATTACCACAGGCTGGCATTTGAACGGGAATGAGTGCTCCAGCACGGAAAGGCCTGCCATTCTTGTCAAGAGCCTGGAGAGTGAAATTGTAGGTGGAAGCTGGCACCAGGTTGTTTATTGTGTCTTCTGTCTTCTGCAGCTTATAGCTCTTGGTGAAGGTGCGACTGGAGACAGTGAGAAGATACTGGCGTCCCCATGGCTGTGAGATATTTGGTGCCTTCCAGGTCAGACGGACAGTTGTGCAACCCAGAATTGAAGCGGTGAAATCTTTTGGTACTATCGGCAGACCTGCAAAGAAAAGATACGTAAAGTGTCACGTTTGGAACATTTGCCGAAAGCTTCTCTTATGTTGCAAGTAGTATTTTCAGGATGCTTTCGTCGCACTTCTGACCTGTCTGAAAGATATAGCACAGGAGTGTTAAGTTGCATTCTGATTCATGCAATTCACATGACGTTTACCAAGCTTACTTTCATGATCTGGCAAGTTTCTTCATGCTGACAAACAATCCACAGTTCTGTCGTTCAGTGGTGGCAGAGTGGAAACGTAAGTTTCGTCTCTCGACTTCTCTGACTGTATCCTGCAGGCGCGCGTATGGCAAACCAAATAATAACAACTATCAGAGCAGTACGGTACTATTAAACAAATAGTAAAGGATAATCAAAGTACAAACCTC